TTCCCAGACACTGGGCCAGCTCAGGCTTCAGGCCTGCACCTCCCTCCCTGTTGGGGCACAGGCCTAGCACACTGGCTCCTGCCATTGGGGCTCTCTGACACCCTGGTCACCCTTTGGTGTTGCTTCCCTCGGGTCCCAATCAGGGGTACAAACAGGGCTTTTCCTGCCAAATTACCTAAATTGCAAGGGTCAGAACCCCCTTGGGGTCAAGAGCAAAGTTAACACCACCATCTAACATATTCCCAAATCTTGCAGGGTGGGAAAACCTAATGCAAATTCTTTCTCCTAGATAATATTTTTAATGAAAATGTTTTGAATCCTCACACTGAAATAACAGTGGAGACTCCTCATGTGCACCATGCCTGCACAGCCCTGCACACACTCATCCCTGATCCAGAAACAGCAGGCTGGCCAGGTTGAGGCTCCAGAACCACCTCTCCCAAGAGCAGGAGGAGCAGGAGTGAAGCAGTTGGGGAAGGAAAGAAAGAAGAAAAGGAGGAGGAGGGAGGAGAAAGCCACAGCTTTCAAAGTAGGTGACTAAGAACGAGTTCCTGTTTTCTGTTACTCTGCCACTGCTGTGTGTCACTGCAGGGCAAGTCAGAGCCACCAGCAAGGCCAATCCACTACCTGAAGCAAAATGCTGGGATCAGCTCAGATTGTTAAAATAACTTCCTATAAGGTTTGTGTGCAGGTGAACTCCCTCTGCCTGGTCAGGATCCTGCACAACACCCTAGGCTCCCAGAAGGGCAGGGTGAGCTGTGTTCTGGGCTGCTCAGACCAGCAGTCACAGAGGGAGCTGAAGAGCTGGGGGTGTACACACAAGGGCCACAGGAAGAGAGCAGAGAGCCACCACCCACGCCCTTCCCTAGCCAGACTCGGGCGTCCCCTGTAGTCTGGGGCCAAACCCTGAGACTGTCTCTAGCCACCACTCACTAACAGGTTCCCCAACCTCTTCAGGGCTCAGTGTTGTCGTTATCTATCTTGGTTACCCCCAAGTCACCATATGTATTAAATAAGGTCACTTAGATAAGCCCCAAGGACTTCTAGGCACAGAGCTGGATCCTTGACCCCAGTCACCGTGCCCATCACATACATGAGCTCAAAGTGACAACAGATGAAAACACCAGGGGACAAGCTCTGGGCCCACTGCAGGGGCATCTGTGCAGCTGGCCTCCAGCACTGCCTAGACAGAGGGTCCACGGGGGCAGCCAGCCTCCATATAAAGCCTTGTGACAGCCTGATCCCCTTCCTACTCACAGACAACAGAGGAAAAATAAAGACACGTGCATTTTTCTGAGTAGTTTTGTCAGATTTTGTTTCATTTTGTTTTGTTTTGAACACTAAGGTTTATTTTCAAACAGCACACGATGGTCTGCTGGGCAGGGCCAGGCGAGGCTGGTGTCCGGCCCGCCCACAGCAGCTGCCAGAAGAGGACCTTTGCCCAGATGGTGGCCGAAGCTTCAGGCAAGCGTGGCGGTGGCTCAGTGGCCCCAGCCCACCCTGCAGCCAGGCACTCATGCAGGCGCAGTTGGGGGTACCAGGAACTCAACTAGGGGACACAGCAGCTTCAGTAACACTGGCAAATTCCACCGGACTAGCCGGGGCCGGGCTCTTTGGAAAACAACCTAACCATTAAGAGAACACCTTTGGGCTTAGGTCTCTCCTCTCTTGATTTCCCTTTGCATTTCAAAAGTTTAAAACAAAAACAGAAAAAAAAAAAAAAAAGAAACACACATTTTTGGGGGAAAGATGTTCACGTGCCCAGAGGGCTACAGAGGCTCCGCTGTCACTGCACCCGTTCAGTGAAGTTCTCGGGGAAGACACCCCTGCATTTCTCCAGCTCCTTGTGCTCATTCCAGTCGCTCTCCTTCACACCCATGAGCCATCCTTCATCCTACAGCAAGCAGAGCATCCAGGTCACATAGGGCTGGAGGACAGAGGGCACTGCTGGGACCTGCTGGGTCCCTCTTCCTGCTGTTCTTTTCCCTTTAGCCTACCAAGTCTACCTTGTGAACGCCTCCTCTAGGCAGCACTCACTTCCTGATGCTCAGTGAAACCAACACCACCTTGCAGGAAGCAGCCTGCCATCAGCAGGTGGCACAACCATCTGGACAAGTCAGCCTTGCTCTGGAAAGGCAGCCTGACTACTGCACTGATCTGAACATATCTGAACAATTCCCTTCTTCCCACCAACCTTCTGGTGCCCACAGAAGACACCAGTTGTCCTTGCAGATCCCTAAATTTCTATAAACAACACCAGAAAGCTCTAGAAGCACGGATCGTCTAGAAGGACTAGAGTCTACCTCCCAAGCAGCTTGTCCTTTGCTTCAATCCTGAGCCCTCACAGGGTCTTCTCTCTAGGCCCTTAGCCCTGGAGCTGCGGGGCCCACACACCTGCCTGTGGAAGAACTTCTTGGATCTCTGTGATTTTACTCTGGTTATGTCCTAGCTCAGTTATCCCAGCCACCCGTGCACAAAACCCCATGGGCTTCTCAAAATCCCACCCAGCCACAGCAGGCCCACTGCAGAGGCCAGAGACCTGGAGCTCAGGAGAAGCAGCAGACCCAGACCCAGGCAGTCCAAGCAGCTCAGCCTAGGACCCCCACTCAGGATGGCTTCATCCTAAACCAAGCCAGACCCACCATCCATTCAGGGATGGCCTCTGAAAGCAGGAGGAGGCCAGCCAGATCACAGGGAAGGTGAAATCCAAATGTCCACGTGGGCACCACCAACGCCCACAAAAGCTCACAGACACCAACAGCTGGTCATCTGGTGAGGGCCTTTAGCCTCCACCCCTGTCCCTAACTCCAGGCAGAGCAGGTGACCCAAATACTAAGGGACACACTTAGCACCACCCCTGGCCTAGCAAGGGCTTCCCACTGACATGTCACAGCAAGAAGAGTCTGGAAGGCATGTGGGATGAGGCCCATCTAGGAAGCCCACAGTCCTATGTGGACAGGACAGGACCAGCCTGGAGGGGGCAGCTGGGCATACATGAGCCTAGCAAGAGACCTGCTCTCAGCCTCTGCTCTGTCCCCTGCAGAGTGGGCACTGCAGGCAGGGTCCTGGGCAAGAGGGACCCTGTCCTGGAAGAAGACAGGCCTCAGGCAGGGGCAGGGAAAGGAAGAGACAGATGCAGAAAGCTGACAGAGCCTAAGGAAAGGAAGAAGTGGAGAGGACCAGGGGCTGAAAGAGAGGAGGCCAGTGGAAAGGGGACAAAGACGGAGGGGAGAAGGAAGACAGGATGAAAGAAAAGGGATGAAGGGAAGGGGGCGAAGCAGCTGATGGGCCTGAACAACAGACTGCACAACGGTGGTCCTCTGCTGCCCCCTGCTGGCCATTCCACCACAGACTTAAAGAGGCTTGCTCACCTGCTCCTCTGGGTTCTGGAAGGGGATCACCAGCACCACATCGCCAGCCTTGAGCTGCAGCTCATCTGTGTCGGTGGCTGTGTAGTCGTGCTGAGCCTGTACCTGTAGAGGTCGGGGGTGTGGGGGAAAGCATGTTAGAGGCCCCATGTCGCCCCAGCATGTACAGGCCTTGTAATGTGCTCTGGTGTGGCGTGGCCATGCAGGCTTAGAGGCCACCTATCAGATTGAAGTGGCATAGAAGGAACAGTGCAAGCAAACTACTGGGTCCCCTGGGTTTAGCATCCTCACCAGTGAACCGGGGTGGCCCCAGTCCCCAGGGCACCCAGGCCAGTGGATGTTGGGTTGGCTAGCCTGGGCTCACCTTGAACATGAAACCTGGGGGCAGGTCCAGGCGCCCAGCCCCACTGCTGCCCTCCACAGTGCCATTCACAGTTGCTGAGAAGGTCTCCACCACCACAGCCGGAAGAGAGCTCTGGGGACAGGGGACAAGTCAGATGCACAAGTGGCCCTGCAGGGAGGGCCAGGGCTGCAAGGAGGGAAGGGAAGGTATCTGCACCGGGTGCCAGACTAGCCTGTCCCAGGCTCCTGGAGGGAGCCATGGCCTGTACCAACCCAGGATGAGGAGCACAGGGGAGCCACCACGGGGAAGCAGAGGACAGACGGCAGGCAGGCAGGCAGACAGACAGCGGGAAACAAAGGCAAGGCTTGGTCCCTGCCATCTTACGGAGGCTGCTTCACTTGCCGCTCTCTCCCCAGGCTCCTGGGCTCCAGCCGCAGGTTGGGTCCCACCCGCCACCTCAGAGGCCTCTGCTGGCTGCAACACAAAGGCCAGCAAGAGGTCAAGACACAGGACAGGACACTGTGGCCAGGCCACAAGAAACTGGCCACTCCAATGACCTGGATGACCTTGGGGTCTAAAGCTAACAGGTGTCTCGCACAATCAGGGGAACACTTTCAGGACAGGCCGGTCCCAGCACACAAGGCTGTTTGGAGAGAAAGTGTTGGCAGGCACAGGAATGCCATGATGTGCAGAGAAGCTCCGCACAGACCCACCCCCCGGATGCCACCCCAACCCTACCTCACCAGCCCTGCCCTCTAAACCCCAAAACTTCTCCAGGCCTCCTCCAGCCCATCCCACTGGCCCAGCTGACCCCTCACAGGTTGGCAGAGGCCTGGAGCAGGAGGCTGTCCCACAACACACACTCAGGACAGGTCCAGGCAGCCATTGCTGCTGCCTTCTCCCCAAGGGATCACAATAGGCACCATCAAGAGCTCCGCAGCTGCGTTGATCTGGGCCACCACTGAAACTTGGACATCAGTTCCCCAACCTTCCTAGCCTCCACTTCCTCATCAGGAAAAGGAAGACTGTGAGAAAATTCTGCAAAGTGCTCAGCATAAACCAGATCTAAAGTATCCCTCCCTGCCCACTCAGGGGCCTACGCTGGCATGGGTGAGTGGAGGGGCTGTGATCCCAGCCCTGCTCACACACCCTAGGCACCCATAGTGACACTTGTGCTGGGGCCTTCCTGGCTCAAGGCCCCATCCGCACCCTCAGGCCCACGGTGGCCTGCTCCATCCTGTGCCCCCTCCTCTGGCTCTTCATCCATGTTACACCCCAAGGGATGGGGACAATCCAGATGGGGGCAGGGGACGGAGCACTTACTTGGACAGGCCCAGGCTCAGCCATCTGGCTGGGCCAGGCTACAGCAAAGGTGCCCTCAGCAGTGCTGGGCTCCCTGGAAGGCAGGCTGCCAGCTGAACTCTCTGCGGGCTAATGTCAGGCCACGAGGAGAGAGCAGAGGGGAAGGGCGGGGGTGGGGTTGGATGGAAAGGCGTTGGGCAGGCACACAAGACAGGAGAAGACTGTCATGAGCAGCCAGTGTTGGCAGGGAGAGTGGGGGCCTAAGGCATAACCTGGCAAGAGCCCAGTCGGGTCACCTCCTTCCTGTTCCCACCACCAGGGGGACAGGCAGGTGCAATAACAACACAAAACATGGCACCTGCTGAAATCCAAGGTCAAAAACAGCCTTGCCAGCTCACACCAGCCTTGCTCTCTCTGGTTCTTCAGGAGTGAACCACTCTAATAGAAAGTCCCAAGCTCTCAGCAGTGCCTCTAGGGCCCTTGCATGCCACACCTACCTACCCCTGCCCTGCCAGTGCCTTGGGGGTGGTCTCAGGACCAAGGCCAGGAAGCCCACCTGGAATTCCAGCTCCACCATCACCAGTTGCTGAGCCCATTCCCAGCCTCCCTAGCCTCCTGTCCTCCATGGCTTGTTCCTGCCCGGCTCTCAGAAAGCATCTGCTCAGTCTGCCTTCCCTGCCTCTCAAGCCATCCCTCCCTAGAATACCCCCAAACACTCTCTGATACTGCCCTGTGCACTCCCCCAAGCTAGAGCCCTCTCCAGGGGTGCTGCTGCCTCACAGGCCTCACCCACATGAGGACTCTCAATCAGTCTCAGGTGGCTGGCTGGCTACTGTCTACAAACACTTGCAGGCCAGAAAGCTAGGCCATGTCACAAAGGACCCTAGCCTCACGCTACACTGTGGAGGAAAAACAAAAGATCAGCTGGAGGCACAGCCTCGTGGGCTTCCTGCGGTGAGCACATGTGCATGAATGTACCATGTGCATCTGTGGACCAGCCAGGTGGGGGTGTGAGTAAGCGGGGCACAGAGCTGGTAGCTTACCTCCCAGAGGTCCCATGGGATTGGCTGAGCAGCAGTGAGGGAGAAGGACAAAGGCAGCACACAGGTTAGACAGGGCTCAAGCAGTCCCACCACCCACACTCCAGCCTAGCAGGCCCAGGTCAACACAGGCTGTCTGAGCTATGAGGCCTACCACAGCCAGTCCTGGAAACTCCTTAGGGGCTATCAGACCCTAGACCAGGGAGATCCAGCACAGGGTGACCGCCCAGAGGGACAGGATGCTGAGGTGACCAGAAGGGGCAAGATGTATTCAGCAGGCAAGGGCCTGCTGTCTTCTCTACACCAAAGGAGTGATGAGGGCAAAGGGCCAGGACAACAGGTAAAGGGCAGTGAGTGGGAAGAGGGCCCCCAAAGGCTTGGGCCTACATGACCCATACAGCAGGTGGGCAAATAAGAGCATAGGACCTGGCCCTGAGGCTGGCGAGCCTGTGGGCAGGGCTGGGCACAACCAACCTGACCAGAGGGTGTGGGCACCTTCACAGGGCTCGCCACAGGTGGGAGGGGGTCAAAGTCCAGGTCCAGCAGGCTGGCCTGCTCCGAGAAAGGCCCCGGAGCCTCAAACTTGGCGGCAGCAGCAGCAGAGGAGGAAAGCAGTTAATGACAGGCTGGTTCACATCTGCATACATGTCAGGTGCACACGGATGCATGCCCCAGGCTCTAGCCCTCCCAGCACACACACACACACACACACACACACATATGAAGGAGCACTGCCCACAGCCATATACTATGGTACAGACTCCCACCTTCAAGAGGACAACACCAGATCTCACCTAGGACATCCAGCAGCAAGCCAGCTGTTGTTACCCACCTTGCAGGACCAACACCAAGCCCCAGCCCTATCCCACCTCTGTGGCTGGGTTGGCCTCCCTATACTAGCACCTCTGCCCCCATAAACCCCACTGGCCTTTCCCCTGCAAGGCAGCACCAGACTACAACCTGATCACTTCAGCTCCCCATCTAGGAGACCCCCGAGGTCAGGGACTTCACATTGGCCTTCTGTGAGCACTTCTGGTCACCCTCTGGTGACGCGCACCCACCAGCCAGCACCAGGGATGAAGAAAGAGCTGAACAACCCACATAGTCTCAGGACCTAATCTTAAAAGTGGGGTCCCCAGTGTTAGGGCTTCAGAACCACCTGGGGCACCAGTGTAACAGATGTAGACCTCACTGCTATAGCTGCAGGGTCCTGGCCACAGTTCAGCAGTGTGAATAGAGTAGGCACAGCCCTGTTGCAAAAGCCCTACTGTGCACCAAACCAGACCATCATGGGAGGAAAGGTCTCTCCCAGGGAAGGGCCCTTGGTTACAGTAGTAATGACGAATCAGATAGGCCAAGGCTAGAGGGCGGCAGGCCAACACCCAGGACACAAGCTACCTTCAAGAAGGTTTCCTTTTCAGAGCTAAGGGAACTTTGCTGACTCTACTTGCTCTCAGTGTGTGCCTAGAACTGAGTGGGGGTGCCCCCAGGCCCATGTCCACCCTATGAACTCCATCAAAAAGCACCTGAGACCTGGGCGTATGGTCAGCAACAACCCAGAGAGGACTCTACGGTCCTGAAAACACTGGAGACCTGATGCCCTACAGCATCAGGCCTTCTAAACAGGCCAAGCAGCATCAGAGCCCAGGCCAAATAGACTCACTTCCCAGAACTATGAGGCTCCAGGCAACCCCCAACAACCGACTTTCCTTCAGGTCCAGCCTTGTCTGGCAGCCTGGGCTGGGAGGTTCCTGTCCCACCTCAAAGCCCTGCCATGTCTGAGAATGGGAGTCTACCACCAGTTGACTCCCATCCACAGTGGGTGGGCATCTCTTCCCATCCTGCTCCTTCAACACACTCCCTCCTTCCTCCAAAGCCACCCAGACTAGACAAGGCAAGAAGGTGCTGCAAGGAAGTAGGGGTTATCAGCCAGAGCACTGACCACCTCTGATGGCCCTGCCCCAGGCAGGAATCCCTCGCCATGCAGGACCGAGACTCCTTCCTCACAGGGACACAGGCCACTCAGCATGTCCCAGCAGAGGCCTGCTGGCACCTGCACCAGGGACGGGGACAAGCCTACTCCTGCCCTATGCAGAACCACCCAAGGTGGATAGCGCTCCCACCCAGACAGGTCCCTGAAGACGGGCACAGGCGGCAACAAGGCAGACCTGTGGTGACATGGGGACACAGGCATATGCAGAGCCCAGACAGGGTAGTCTCTGGCCACCTCCTGAAACTGAGGTCCTGGCCTGCAGGTCCCTCACCGGTTAAACAGAGGCAATGACCCTCCCAGAAAGTGTATGAAAGCCAAACACAGAGATGCAGATAAGTGGCCAGAACGGTCCCTGCTCAGTATTTGCTAGCCCTCGTGCCATCCCATCTCCCCTGTGTGAACACACGCTGGTTAGCTGCCTGCCCAGGCACCCCAGAGGCACAGATGTGCTTGGGCAGGCAAGGAGGACCCCCAGCAGCCGCCCTGGAGGCCATCAGCTCCTTTCCCACACTGCTATTCCTACACATTCCAGTGCCACTTTCCGGCAGAGGCTGTACACCTCTGGACCTCTGAAAGGGCCACCTGCCCACCTCCTCAAGCAGCCTAGTATTTAAAGTCCCTTGGTTCCAACCCAAAGTTCTTCCATGGAGGCCCCACCCCTCCCACACTCATGCGCTCCAACCCTCTTCCTTCCCTCCAGGTCTCTGGGCTTGTGCATAGGAGCCTGCTGGACGCAGAGCTCCCAGGCAGGACCAGGTAACCCCAAGGTACCTGGACTCACTACTTCCACAAAAGGTGAGCAAGGCCCTGCAGGAGGAAAGTTCTCAGTGTGTGTCCGGAAGCTCATTTGCCCCTGAGCTAGCTGGGAGACAATGTGTCTGCCCAGACGGGGGCTGGGGGCTAACAGGAGATGCTTCCACCCTGAGTGCAGGCCCCTCTTGCCTATCTGTGGGGGGCATGACACGCTTCTCAGGGCATTTATGAGCAGCAGTCCTGTGAGCTGAAGTCTTTGTGCAAGTCCCAACAGTGTTCCAGCTGACTTCCCTCACTGCTACCCAGCTGTATCACTTCAGCCACCATGAGCCTACCTCTCATTCTCCTGGCCTATCTCAGCTCCCTCTGGCTAAAGCACTGTCTCTGTGGGTAGCCTCTGGGCAAACATCGCCTGCACTGGTACTTGACTAGTGCACCTGACTTCCCCCAGCCTCCATGCTCCCCGTACAGCATCAGTCACACAGTAGGCCATTACAGACACCTTTCACCTGTGTCCCTGCATCTGACCACAGCGCATGCTCAGGGATGAGTGACAAATGGTGCGGAAAGATGAAGGATGGGAGGATGGAGGGATGGATGATTAAAGAGGGAGGCTCAGGCCAATCTCTCTGGCCACATTCTTGGCTCTTGAGACAGAAGCACGGGGCATGTGATGGAAGATGAATACCATGCACGTTCCAAGAGAGCAAGAGGGGGAAGAAGACTGGGCCGCGGTGGCCGCGGCTGACCTGGGAGGGGGTGGTCACGCTGATCTCGGGGACAAATGCGTCATCAAACAGGCTGAGGATCTGCTCCTGCTTGACCTCCTTGGACGGGGTGTGTTTGGGAGGCGGAGGGACAGGTGGGCCTTTCCGGAGCTGTGAGGGGGGTGGCGTGGGAGGCACAGCAGAGCATGGGGGTGGGGGAGACAGAGACAAAGCCACAGTTAGTCACACCCCAGTCACAGCCCCACCCAGGCCACTGAGGAAGACAAGGCAAATGAAGAGTCACTGTCCCCAGACAGGACCACAGGTCAACCCCAGGAGGGAGACCAAGGCAGGAGGTACAGAAACACTGCAGAAAAAAAGGAGAAAGAGGGGAAGGGAGACAAGTGAAAGAGGAGAGGAGGGAAAACACAAAGGCAGAGCAACCTCCAGCCTCCTCCCACCTGAGGCACACTTGGGGAGAGCCTGCCTCATCTACCTGGACGGTAACTCTTAGCTCAGAGACAGTCAGGGCTGCTTCTCCTGCCCACCTCTGACCTTCCACAGGCCCTCCCTCCACCTCCTTGAGTCAGGCTGCCCAGGAGCCCCAGGACAGCAAAGAGCCAGGCCCATGCACAGCAGGCAAGAACCTCAGGCGGGTCTCACAATGCTGAACCTGGTCAGTGCAGATTCTGACAGCTTCCACTGCACAGGGCAGTGGGGAGGACTCAGCGAGTGGACAAACAGGTGCAGGCTCTCGTCACTGCCCTTAGCATGGTCCTCCAATCAGCCATGGAATAGACCAACAGCATAAAATACCAAGAGTGCTCATCCCCTTCGGTCCCACCTGGCTGCCCCCTCCCAGGGCCTCTGCTGGAAACTGAAGGGCCTCGAAAGGCAACACAGAAGAGTCTGGAGGCCCAGGCCTGTCCCCATCAGCCACCCCCACACTCCCTCACTGAGTCCTTCCTGGGTCCCTTTCATGGTCCTACACAGCCACTTGGTGGGGCTCCTCAGCCCCTGCCAGAGAGAAGAGGCAGGCGCCTCCCCTTGCCTCCACCTGCAGAGTCTGGATGCTCTGTGCGCTGAGGGCCCAGAACGTCTGTCTGAGGAGGAAAGAAGATGGGGAAAGAATCAAGCAGCTAAAGGCCAGGGAGAGAGGGAAGGGGGAGGTGCTGCAGTGGGGGGACAGGTGTAGGACATTTGGGGAGGGGACAGGCACAGAAACTCCCTGAAGTGGACCAGGGCCAGTGAACTAGCCTGGATGCTCAGAAGCGGAGATCCAGGACCAGCCTCCCATGAACAAAGCCTCTGGCTCCAAATCTGTCCAGGTCACCGCAGCGGATGACAGAGGAGGAGGTAGGAAGGACAACAAAGTAGGAGGAAGGGGAAGGGACAGACCACGGAGACATCATGCCTACCTGAGACGGGGACTTGGGGATGGTGGCCCCGGCTGTAGCCCCGCTAGCCAGCTCTGTTTCATGGTTCACTCTGATCTCAGGGGTGGTGGCAGGGGAGCCATCTGGTGGAGGTGACGGGCTCTTGTTCCCTTTTGCAGGGGCATTGTCGCTGTGGAGGCAGAACAAGAAAAGGAACCCAATGTCAGGATGGGATTGTGCACATGAAGGTGCCACTGAGGATGCCTGTGGGGAATTACATGTGTGCATGTGCAAGCCCCACCCCACGGACCCATGTATGAAAGCATGTATGTGTGTGCGTCCTGTGGATTCACATGTGAAACTACATGTGTGGATACGTAAGCCCATGGATCCACATGAAAGTATGTGTGCATGTGTGTCCCCGTGAACCCATGTGTGAAGCTGTGTGTATGAAAAGGGTGGGAATGAAGGGACCAGGACATGCACAGGCCTTGGAGGCACCAGCCAGGACTGCAGGCTGGAGGCCTGTGCCCTGGGAGCCTCTGCCTCGCCATGTGTTTCATCAAACTCTGCCCTGTCTATGCCAGGGGTCACAGCACAAGCAAGCCAGACATCCTAGAGGCAAAGTAAGTCTCCCCTACTGCACACGGCAGCCCTTCCACTCAGGCTGCACCCCAATTTACCCCACAGGCCTCTAGACGGCCTCCTCACCTATCTCCACCCACCAACTCAGACAGACCACAGCCCATCACGGCCACCCTCACTGTCTCCAGACCTTTACTCTCATGGTCCCCTCAGCTCCCTGTCCACACACCCCGGAGAAATATCAGAAACCACTGGAGGCCCAGGGCAGAGCCAGCACAAGCAAAGAGCAGTGGCTTCATGACAGATTGGTGTCAGCTGCCAGATAAAAAGACATGGTCCTTAGCTGCATGTCCACTTGAGAACACACAGGGCCTGGAGTGTGCACAGGAGCCACTGGGTATGCAGGGACAGAGGTTGCATAAGGCAGTTCTAGAATAACTCCATGTGATAGAGTAGTCATCAGCCAGGGATCTATGTCATTTAAATTAATTAATACTACAAGTTAACTCCCTGGTCACATTGGCCACATTTCAAGTACTTAAGAGCCACATAGGTGACTGAGTGCTAATTCACAAGGATGACGTGAACTGGTGACATAATTGGAGCTGGTCTTGTTTGAAGCTCCATGGATTCCATGCATTCATGGAAATGCATTTGCCTCCCTGAAGAATACAAAGGAACATAAAACATGGTGTGCCCCAGGGGATTTATTCCACATGTGGCTTCCCCTTCCTGATTCCTCCCAGGTCTTCTGGCCCACTACCTTTCCCCTTGTGAGTGCACTGGTGGTTGGATGGCAGCCCGGGCTGGACACCATGCACACAGCCCTGTGCTACGCTGGGCGGGGGTCTCAGATGCCTGCCCTGCACCTGCTCCTTCCCTGGCAGCCCCCTGGTCCTCAGGCCCCTCCTACACACATCACACAGCTGGTCCTGAGCAACTCCACACTTAGGCGGGTGGTTAGGAGTTAGTGGGCCCTTCCAGCTGGTGAGGGCACATGCATGGGCAGGCGGGGTGCTGAGACCCAGGCAGCACTGCACTGCACGCAGAGATACCTGTTCTTCTTTCTGCGCAGCCGGGAGAAGAGTTTAGTTTTCTTTCTGTGCAGATGGATGGGACATGGAGGCCTCATATGTGGCAAATGCCAGGTGCAGGCTAGGCCCCTCCTCTCCCATATTCGCCATCCCTTCTGTGCAGAGGAGGGCGAAGGGCAAAAGCCTCCCCTAACCAGCCTGGTCTGTGCTCAGCCTGCCCTGCACCTGCAAGGTGCCTAGGTGTGACAGGGCCCACAGGCTCTAGGAGGGCAGTGGACAGATGTCCAGCCTGTGGGCCAGAGTGCCAGGAAGAGGCCAGTGTGTAACCCTGATGAGGATGCCACTAGGCGAGCCAGGTCACACGGTGGAAGCGCTAGTGGAAAGCGGGGTCAGCAGCCTCCACTTCCTCTCCTCTTCCCTTGGACCCCTTTCCTATGGAAACAGTTGAACTTCCCTGACACCACACCTCCCTACCCAGCCTGGGCACTTCCCTCCCTGGTGTCCTCAGACTCACTTTTTGGCCTTATTACACACACACCCCCAAACCCTCATGCTGCCTCTGGACACCTGTGGACTCTTCTCTGTCACACGTGGTTTTTGAGGGGGACGTGGGGGAGGAAGAGGAGTAATAACATTAATTAAAATCTTTAGTCCAGGGCAACCCAGTTACCCCCTAAAACACTTTCAATCACCCCACTCAGCATTCTGTCATGACATGAGCATGTGTACACACCTCCATATATGCTCACACACATTGCCATGCACGCCTACACCCCATGTACACTCACACACACACTCACACTCCCCATACACCCTAGTATACACACACCCATGTACACTCACCCCAGCAACACACATTGCCCATATATACTCACTCAACCCACAATACACACATTGCATACATATACACCCCATATATATTCACACACCCCATACACACCCACTCATATACACCTATTCACATACTCATGTACACACTCATCTGCATTCACACTCTCACAAACACACACTCATATATTGTCTCTGTGTCTCTCTTTCCACACACACACGCACATGCACACGCACACCCAGAGAGAAAGGGAAATCCCTTCCCTATTTCCCCTGTCCTCAGCCAAAAGACATTTCAGCAGAAGGCATTTCTGCTCGTCCCGTGGTCTCCCCTCAGGACAGAGGGATGTCCTGGCAGCTGCCTCTGAGGGGGCAGGCAGGATAGATGCCAGGGCTCTGTGCACATCCTGATTGAGGCCTTCTGGCTTCCCAGAAGCTGAGTTCCACCTCCACCTTGGTGACTCGTGCTCCATAAAGGAAGAGGGAGGCCTTCTGAGAGACCTGAAGGCTTCCCAGGGGCAGAGATGTCAAAAACAGTGATCTGGCCTGGCCTGCCTCCTGGACCAGAGCCCAGAGCCAAGCCATGGGACCAGGAAAGGTCCAGCAGGGTGTCAATATGTTGCAGACCCACTCTTACCATACCCTCCCCACCTGTGAGCACTTTACACACCTGGGCTGGGCCTTGACTGTGAAGGTATTGCTCCCGTGCTGCTTCTCCAGGCAGACCAGCACATCGTTGAGGTTCTGGTTGAGCTGCAGAAGGGACAGCAGGAAGTAGCAGGTGGAAGACTCCAAGGTCACCAAACAGCCACACTTTCCGCAGAAACACCTCTGCTTCTCCCTCTCCCAGCCTCACTGGCCCTGTCAGTAAGAGCTGAGAACAGCACACGAAACCCAGGCAAACCAAGCAGAGTGGAACATGGGAGGAGCGGGCTGTACTGCTAGCCGTTATTGTTTCCTCTTCTCTCTACTTACAGGAATATCCTAGAATACCACAGACAGCTTGTACTGGTCTCAATTTTTTTTCTTAGAAATTATTTTCACAGACTCACTATTGATCCTAACTCTTAAGATAACTTTTGCCAAGATACTGTAGAAATTTCACCAAAAGCATAGGAAAGAGAGGAAGTTTAGCCCATCACTTCCTGGTTCTCATTACTGAGACTATTTCCCTCCTTAGTTTGGTCACTAGGAAGCTCAAAGCTGAATTTTCCTCCCACTTACACACAACTCTGCCTTATGGTACATATTTCCATGGACTAATTTTACATAAGGTTACTAAAACACCTCTATTTTTTAAAATTTTCGTAAGTTTCCTCAAATCTTTGAAGGGAAAACAGGAACAAAGAGAGGCTCTAAAACGTAGGAATCCCTACTCAGGGTTGTGAATCAGCCCAAACTGGCTTTTCCTCCTCTGGTCCTGGGCCTAGAATCCATCATCACCATCTCATTCCTTTGGGCCCAAGAGACAAAGTCAGAGCCACCTACCCTATGGAACACAGAGGCTGACATTAAATAACTCCCCATTTTAACTGCTAGTTAGTTAAAATGAAAATAATCCAACATGGAAATGTGAATTGATCAGACCTCTTCTTCTGCCAGATTCCAGGCAATAAAGCAGAACTATTTCAATGTCTCAAGAAATGCAGGAGAACATTTTTAAATTGAGAAAATTCTAATATCTTTCTTACTACATTTCCCACAGATTGGGAAACGGCCCCCATTTCTAGCCCTGAGTTCCCAGATCAGGGTGGCCTGATGTTTACAGGCCATGTTTTACAAACTGAGAGGGGTTGGCTACGCTCCCCAGCCCTTTCAGCTGGGGCTCACAGGGGTCACCACAGTCACCAGTGTCCCATCCCCACAGGGAAGTGGGTCTTGGGTAGGCCCCAGGTCACCCCAGCCTACCTTACTCATTTCTTTGTGGAAGTTTTCCTCCAGGCCTGCGATGCTCTGGAACGTGTTGACATAGAAACCTACACGACTGCCAGAGGAGGGAAAAATGGTATAAACCAGACACCGTGTGTGTGACCACAAACCTGGGAGGGGAAGGCAGGGGCACGATACACAGGGCAGGCACAGGGGGCCCCTCCTCCCCTCACCTGTTCCACAGGGATGGCAGCTCCTCCTGTAAGTCCACATTCATCTCCTCAAACACCTTCTGCGCTTTGATGAGCTCCTCCTCTGCCTATGGGGCAGCATAGGTCACAACCCTCTTTGGATCCCAGTCCCAGACAGCCCCAGAGAGCCCAGGCCCACCAAGAAGGCCAGCCTCCACCACATGCCTGAGGTACAGGTACCAGACCCCTACCCACTTCTGTGAACTCGCTTGGGAGAAGTGCCAGTCCTGACACAGCTCTCTGAACCACTACCCACTGACCCCTATGTAAGTGCTACTGCCCCCTTTCTTAAGGATAGCGCCTGCTCAGCCTGGGCCACCAGCCTCCCTCTGTCTCCATGAAGCAGTCTTTCCCACCAACTCCTCTGTGACCTATCCCAACCAGAGGCAGCAGCTCAGACACCTCTAGGAAAGGCAGAAGGGTTACGGGTGAAGGGGGTGGGGCTGGGCTGCTGGTGGCCCTGTTTCCCACCCTGCTTCTCATCTCTCCAGGCTGCTCACATCCACCAGGCGGTGGAGCTAGGTCCCAGAACCCTTCCAGAGGGGTGAGTCACAGATACGCCAGGGGCCAGAAGGGATCTGCTGGCTCATTTCTGGAGGCCACAGCTAGGGAGAGTGGCTCAGGGGGGTGACTCAGGCTCAAGTCTGAGTCATATCCCAGGAATGTGGTAGCCCCACCCAGGAGAAAACTTCCTGCCAGCTGCTTCACATTCTCAGGCTGAGACTGGGGTCCCTTCTTGGCAAGGCCACCAGCTGGCCAGAGTACACACTATTTCTCTATACCCGTCAGCTCTTCCACCCAGCTTCAGGGACCAGGACCAGCTCAAGTGTACATAGCAAGAGTGTCCTTGGTGACCTGGGGGTGGAGCTGGAGGAGGGCCTCCACACTTTTAACTACAGTCACCTCCAGTATTGCTACAGTGTGCAGTGCTCCTTTTCTGACCTTTTAAATTCAAATTAAAACTTAAAGGTGGAATAGAAGGAGAAAAAAGTCTATCTAAACATGCATGCCTCTCTTGGAATGGATCAGGCTGGAGACTATGGGCCCCAGGTCCTATTCACAGGTCCAAGCCACACTACAAAGAATAGGGCAGGTCCATTTCAAAGCTCCCAGAAGCTAGGGCCTGTGTCTTTTATTGTCTTTGGGTCACATTCCTTACATTCTGACTCTTTTGGAGGGAAGGGAAGGGCTGCTGAGGGTGGGGGAGGCCTTGCAGCTCCCATGACCCCTTACATGCTGACAGACTACAGAGCCAAGTGAAGGGAGACCAGCCTGGGTCCTCGGGTAGAGCTCAGGAGGCAGCTGCCTGTGTAGAGTACTTCGGAACCAGTTCAGGCAGCACATGGAGCAGGTCAGCTCCTGGAAAGCAGCCTGGACAGAATGCACTGTCTCCCCAGAGTCCAGTCCACCAGAAGGTCAGCTCCAGGGCCCCAAGTGCCCAGCTCACAGTCACGGCTAATATGGACCACTCCAAAGTCACCCAGCTTCCAGCCAGGCACAGGGAGGAGGATAGGCTCAAGTAGAAACAGGAGCCAAGAGGAAAAGCCAGTCTGGCAGAAAGGTGAAACATCTGGAGCCCAGCATCCCAAGATGTGGTCATGGCCTTGGCCACCTGTGCTGCTTCCCAGGATGGAGCAGGGGCCTCCCAGCATGCTCCCCAACCACATTTATCTCAGGAGCCTAAAAGCAGCAGGCAGGCCCCATCCCAGCCCTACTCCCCCGCCCCCGGGGAGGGGGCTTCTCCCACCCAGTGAAAATATTCCAGCTTTCCAGAGAATACCATGCAGAAAGCTGGCTCCAGGTTTCCATCCCCTCATTCCTGCTCCACCTCCCAAAGCTGACTCAGGCCTTTCCAAGACCCTCAGGGCCATCTCCCCAGGCCCTAGAGAGCCAGGCCACCCTGACCCCAACCTCAACTCCTACAGTCCCTAGCCCTGGCCTAGAAGAAGTCAGGCAGCTGGTCAGGTAAGAAATTGGGCAACGAGCCGTGACAAGCTGGAGCTCCCCACTTCACAGGCACTTGATACATAAGGGTTGCAGATGATGAAATCAGGAGGTGGCCCAGGAAAAATGGGACAGCTGCCCAGGAAAAACCTGACCTCCTAGGTCATACACGCCTCCACTGCCTGCCCCTGCCCCACTGTGACGAGGTTCCAGATTCTCTTTGGGCTGCAGCTATGCTGACAGGAAACACAGGGAAGTTCAACTGGAACGGAGGCCTTGTGGCCCACCTCTGAGGGGCACTGTCTCCGCTGTCCCTGGCCACATTGTGGCCAAAAGACAGGGTACTGAGAAGAGCAAAAGAACTATCTCCAGGGTGGTGGGATGACCCAGGAGTTTTGTACAAAATGCCTCCTCCAGGAAGCACCCCTCAACCCACCCTGGGACCACTGTCCTCCATGAAACTGCCAAAGAACTGACTTTCCAGGAATCCCCAGTTTCAGCATGAGCCAGACTGGAGAGTTCTCCCATGGTCCCTCCAGTCACCTCTGGGGCCCCAGATCCTAGGCATGCTGTGGCAGGACCACCCACACTGAGTTCCAGCCAGGGACCAGGTTAACAACAGGGACTTGAGTCTGCCACTGACCAGATCTGGGGCCCATGTGGGAGACTGTGCCTCTGTGGGCAAGTTTGTCTCAGTACATTCGGGGTAACCTTGGGATTCTAGGAAACCTGAAGGACAGAACATGCCAGGGTGGGGAGGAGCCCTAATACCTCCTCCCTCCCCCACAGAAGCCCTCAAGGAGTACAGATGGCTCAAAGACATTCCTGGTTCCAAGTGTGCAGAACTAGGGAGGAGTCTGCCGAGACCACAGACCTGGTGCCTAGCCCAGGTCAACTGCAGCCCCTCTGCCTCTATCTGCCTAGACATCTGGCCTCAGATCTCCCTACCGCAGAAGCCATCCTCACAAAGGCATCCAGAAGTCCCTCCCTCCCCACACACCTGGTACAGCCCTGCAGCCACCAGCTCAGGGCTGGCCTCTGCCACCCAACCCCAGAAAGGGACTGAGCCCTCCCCTACTCGGGGAAGCATGGGGCTGCTAGGCACACAGGCACCCAGCAAGAGGACAGGACAACAGGACGACAGACCGGAAGGCGCCAGCACGTGCAAGGTTAGAGCCAGTGTCACCTGATTTCGGAGCAGGTTAGTTTGAGCTACGAGATGAGCCTGCAGTTTGCCTTGGCACCACTGGGGGGCAGCTTTCTCAAGCAGCGAGACAGGCTGGGGAGGCGGGGAGGCCAATCAAGGCCAAGGAGAGTGGAGAGACAGGAGGGAGGTGAGAGAGAGAAACAGAGACACAGATATTAAACACTAAGCCCACTGCCCAGTGCAGAGACAAGACAAGCCAGCCCCCCTCCAGGGGCCAGTCCTGGCAGGCCCTGGGGCTGAGAGAATTAAGGGGAGCCTGCCCAAGGGCACATGGCAGGGGAGGCAAACTCCAACTGCAAAGACAAACCGTGAGAGTTGTTAGCAGGGCAGAAGGGCCTAGCAAGCAGAGTCCTGCCCATGTGGGGGTCCCCACCTCCGTCCCTCACCATGTGGCCATGTGGCCAGCCCTGTGACCAGCCCACCAGCTTTTTCTAACAAGACAGGGTCAGATTCCATGACAGAATTCCACTCAGTGCGCCAGGCAGGGCGGCGCCACTCCAGAGAAACCCAAGCTGGGTGTATTCTCACTCTGGAAAGTGGCCTCAGAGTGGGACACAGGGGCTTGTAGAGGGCAGGGAGGAGCTGGAAGAGCTCCCATCTTAGCACCCACAGGGACCTTTTACTCACCAGCCCTGGGCCCAGCACCATTCCCACCCTTGGCTGGGGACCTGGGACTAGCCACCCACCACCCCCAAGCCTGCAGACTCCCCCAACCTGCCTCCATCCCTCACCTTGGCAATTTTGGCTTCATCCTTCTTTTTGGCTGTTTGAAGGGACTCGTAGTGGTGCCGGGCGCTGTCATAGTCCACCAGCTTCCGTCCCCGCTTGGCAATACGTGACTGTGAAGCAGACACAGGAGGACGGGGTCAACAGGGTCTGGAGCCTAAGATGGGATGTCATCAGGCTGGGCCCAGAGAAACCGGCTGCACAAACACGGAGGGTCAGGAGCAGCAAACCCTGGGCCCAGAAGCTCATCTGAGGGTTGCTGGAGCCCTGATGTGGAACAATTGGGGGGCAGAGAGCTTGCCTTTTGACAGCATGCCCCTCAGGGTCCCAGTTTCCTTGCAACACGATCCTATTTGTCAGGATGCACAAACCAGTATGGTGGGGGCCAAGCCGCTTCCTTGGCCTTGCCTCCTGGGTCTTGGCTTCTCCTCCCCAAACCTACTTCATCTGCACTGGGAAGTCTCAGGTACCTGCACTGGGCAGCCCCCAGAGATATGTGAGCATGACACTCCCACCCACCCACTGAGAGATCAAGTCCAATACAACAATCACCCTTCTGGGCTCCAGACCCCTGTGCCTCCATGGATGCAGCCCCCAGGGGCCAGCTTGCCTCAGTGGAGACCTTGACACACAGAGCTGCTAGCACATACCTGTATGTGGGCTCAGCAGAGGCAGCTGGCTTTCTGAACATGAAGTAACACAAATACCCCCAGACGTGTAAGTTCAGTAGCAGGCAATAGACAAGCACAATGCAAACACGGGGACCTTTGGGCCATGCATGCCCAGGTCTTACACACTCTGACACACACACACACACACACACACACACACACACACGCTTACACACCATGGAACCTCCTACCATAGCCCTCAGGCCCAAAGGTACAAGGAGATCCCGTTCTTGGGAGCTGGGGGAGAGGGGGACTGCAGAGGAAGCAGCCCTGGAGGGACAAGGTGCCAGGCCAGACGTATGCTGCCCAAAGGAAGTCACCTCTGCACCTGAGCCTCCCTTTGCTGCAACCCCGGTGCCCTCTCCTCTCTCCAGCTCCTTTCACAGACTCCAGGCCAGACCCAAGAAAGCTCTCACCTTGATGTCTGGGAACTGGCCCAGGTAGGTGTCCATGGTCAGCAGTGCCTGGTCCACCAGCTTCTGGTGGTAGTCCATCCACAGAAGGTCATTGTTCTGAAACAAGGGAGCAAGAGTATGACACAGCTCTCCTTCCAGGGCCCATCACCTCGAGGCTCAGTGGATTCTGTCCTGAAGCCTCTCCTGGGATGACAGCGAGGTTCAGATACAGCCAGAACTGGTGGAGGTAGCAAGGGAGATTTTGTGACTTGAAGTCACTACACACAGGGACAGCCACAATCTACTGTGAGAGTCTCAGGAAAAAAATGATCCTCAGAAAGGGGAGGCAACTTGCCCAAGGGAACACAGCATATGAGTACTGAAGAACCAAGAAAGCTTGGCCCAGAGGGTGGGAGTGTAGGGGGATAGGAGGTAAAGTCAAAAAGACCCTCTGGAAAGGGCCAAGGCCACCTCCCCACACTCACCTCAGCGATCTTATTCGCCTCATCCCTGCCAGGCCAGTCAGGCTCATACACCTCCTGTAGACACTCATTCAGCTTCTTGGAGGCCTCATGCATGGCTGAGGGACAGAGAGAGAGTTTGTGGCCTTCCCCTGACCGTCCATGCCCACTGCAGATGTGGCCCTGCTGCCCCTCCACAGCTCTGCACCCATAGGCTCCCCAAGCCAGTTCTACCCTGCCTGCCCCTTACCTTTGACAGAGGCCAGGTAGGTCCGGAGGTCCTTCTGCAGCCGGGTGCCCTCGGTCTGCCAAGAAAGATGAGGACCAGATTAGGGCATGAGTGTTCCCAACCCTCTCCTTCATGTCAGTCCCACATGACAAATCAGGCTGCTCTCCTTTCAGCAGTCACCAACCAGCTGTCCTCCCCCTGAGCCAGCACAGAACACCACTAGGGATAGCAGCTCTGGCCTTTCTGGTCACAGAGTCATACTACATTCCTAGCACCAACTCTCCTTGGAGTCCCTTGAGAGTCCTGGGCCCCATTTGTCAGTCACCACTCTCAGCCCTATGAAGATGGCAGGAAGCCAAGGCCCCCTGAGCACTTGGTGACCCCTGGGGATATGGCTGAATCCCACACATGCACACAGCACTTGGGCGCAACAGGACAGACCCACCCTCAGACAACAGTAGACAAGTGACAAACGAGCACAGGAGTGTGACCAGGGCACGACCGGGGGTGCATGCACACCAGGCATCTCACTCCCCAAGCTCAGGTGGTGGCCAGGAACAGAAGCCCAGGACAGGAGGGCCCAATCGACCCTCTACAGGAATGGAAGGTTCCAATACTCTAAGGACCCCTGCCCAGGTTAGAGGGAGGATATAGAATATGGGATACTGGAAAACAAGCCACAAGGGAAGGAGCAGGTCAAGGGTGATGTTCCTGAGCTAGGAAGGTGTCCCTGGGGGCCTGCTAAGGCAGTTGGCCAGGCCTCAAGTCCCTGTGCCCTCCAATACAACAGAAATGGGCCAGGAAAGCCCAAGATACAAGGTCTGAAACTGCCGACAGGAGAAGCAGAAGGTTCCAGAAGCCATGTGAGAAGGGGGAAGCACACACAAGTTTGAGGGCCATGCAGAAAGCAACTTAGCATGCCTTTCTGAGCCTCAGTGGCCTCATCTGTCAACTGGGGTGATGAATGACCCTGCCTGGCACAGCACACAGGCTCAGGGAATGGCTCGGAGCCTCAAAAGTCACCTCAAGAAAAGTACTTCACACAGAGGGGGACACAAAGAGAATGACAGAAGCTGAGGCTAGTTGTGTCACCTGTGGCTGGCCTACCCAGCCAGCCTCCAGCCTCCAGCTCCAGCCTCAGAGACACCTCATCCTGGAGAAATGTCCAGAAGATACAAGGAGTACTACTGAATCCAGCACTCCCACTAAAGATGGTCTCCACCATGCAGGACCATCTCCTTTCCAGCCTCACCCCCAGCATCCCCAAACCTCTCCTGTTCCCCAGGCAGGCTCCCCTTCCTTGGCTAGGTTCCACCCCTCTCCCTGGTGCCCACAGCTCTGGGTACCATCTTCTCAACACTGCCACCTCTACCTGACGAGCAAGGAAATCCAGAGAGTCAGTGACTTGCCCAGAGTTACACAGAGACTGGGAGAGCTGAGAGGCCCCCAAGCCACAGCACTCAGGTGCAATTTGCTGAGTGGTAACTATCAGCCCATGGAGCTGCTAGTATTCGTTGTGACGAATTCTCCCACATCACACTGGGGACAGGTGGCAGGGAGGGTTTCAGAACAGCATGTAAGATGTGTAATAAAACAAAGAGGAAGGGGAAAGGGACAAAGCCCTCTCTAAAACGCCTTCAGTTCCCCTAGAGGACACTTGTCCCTTGGGATGGATGCACAGGGATCCTTCCTGAAAATCCCATAGACACCAGATCTGCAAATGCTCAAGTCCCTTAAATACAAAATGGCATAGTGTCTGCAAGAACCCACCCACAGCCTCCCAAGTACTTTAAATCATCTCTAGATGAGTCATAACACCCAAGACCTCGGAAAGGTTATGTAAATAGCTGGTATTTGTACTACTTTTTGTAGTGTTTTGTTATTTTTTCATTGGTTTTTATCCCAAATGCTTTCCATCTGAGGTTGGTTGCATCCTCAGATTTGCAACGTGCAAATAAGAAAGGCCAATAGCCCTGGTCAAACGTAAGTCTACGTACACCCAAATTCCAAGACTTGCTGACTAAAGATTGCAGCTGGGGAATGGACAGGACCTTGTGGTGGGGGGGCAGGCTCTTTATCTAACTGTTCGTTGAGATGAGGATTAAAATGTGTTCGTGCTATGATCCTAGTGAACCATCTGAGCTCACAGAACCTCCCAGACCCAGCTTCTCTCCCTGCCAAGCCTCCCTCATCCCAGCGGCACCTCCAGCACCCCTCACCCCCGCCATCCCTCGGTACCTGCCTCTATGATGCCCCAAGCAGGGGATCCCCATGGGGTAGGCAGTGTGCTCACCAGGCTGCAGGCTGTACCAGGCTCCCTTGTCCTTCCTGAACAACGGCAGGCTGTGAGCAGGCCGGTGGCAAGTAGATGTGTGAGAGGCTGCCTGAAGCTCTGCCTGCTCTGTGTGCCACAGCTGGGTCCCTAAGCCACTCCACCCAGAAAGTCCCCAGGGTAGAACAACCTGGAATCCCATCCAGCTGCACCTGAAGGTCAGCAGCAGGCCAGCCAATACAGAGCTGTGTGTTCACTTCCAGACTGGCCCCTCAGCAGGATGTCAGGAAAACGTGTGGGAAGCTCCCTGGGTTCTAATCCACTCTGCAGAGCCCAGCTCAGGGAGGAGAAGACTGAACCATTGCCCAACTCAACCTCTGGGCATTTATTACGGGCCATCCATGCTCACCCTGCCGGAGCTTCCTCCACATCAGTCCCTACCACTGTCCTAGTGGATCTAGGGTAAGACACCCCCTCCTGCATGAACCAACCCCTTCTGGTCCAGCTCCAACTCTTGCCCCTCAACAATCAATACCAGGGGACAGGTCTTCATTCAACAGCAAGGATGTCCATAGTGAGCAGAGGCCAGTTAAAGGTCTAGGCTTAAATCCCCAAGCCCCCAAACCAGCTGTGTGGTCTTGGGGAAGTTGCTTAACCTCTGAGCCTCAAGTGCCACATCTACAAAATGAAGAAAATACCAACAAACATTTCAAGGATTGCAAGGATGTGTCTGAAAAATGCACAGCAGTACCTAAAAGGACTTCACAGATGCCCACAATCTAAGGAGGCCAGCTGAGTAAGAGACACACTCAAGGTTTCCAAGAGACAGAATCAGGGGCTGAGTTTCCAGCTTCTTGTTCAAGCCTACATCTTACAGGTGAAGAAGCTAAGGCAGTAGACACCCTCTGTTAGGAGACCTCATGGGCCTTGAAACACCTCCCGTTTCCAGCCTGAGGACATGCAACCGTAGTGGAGTCTCTTCCCCTGTGGAGTCTCTTGTGCTGACCCTCTCCCAGCATGCTCCCTGGTGAGTTGTCAGAGTTCTCCAAGGAAGAGCCCTTCACCCAGGCTCCACTCCAGCCACAGAGGCTTTGATAGGCCCCTTCAGTGCTTTCCAAGGGCTCAGACGCAGACAAGGGGTGTGGAGATGCCTGGGTCCCCCAGGCTGAGCCCTCCCTGCCCCATTCCTGACTTCACCTACCATGTCCAGCCCCGTTCCTGTTGGCCTTCTTCTCTGGCCATACCCCTATCTGTCACTCACTTGGGGCTGACCTGCAGAAGCCACAAAGCCATGCCTTGCTCTCCCTCCCCTCTGCTACCTCACCCTCCCCAGGAATAAGGGAGTTGCCAAGGTCATCTCACCTCCCTTTCCCCTGAGTTCAGAAGTGACTTGTTTTCGACTTAGCAGATCTCTGGGGTAAGTTTCAAGGGCAGCCCAGTCAGGGTAGTCAGGGACTGTCCTTCAGGAGGGAAATCCTCCCTTGGTCTAACCACTGTACCCAGGCTGCCTATGCGTTTAAGCTGCTTCCAGTCACTGGCCCCTAGCCTGGAATGGGCCTTTGTGAAGATGCCCTGGAAGTCTCTTCCAGGCTTTGGAACCAGACCAGGAGGGTCTGGTCTCCAAAGCTGGGTGCCTTATGTGGATCACCACCACTAACCTGAGCCTCAACTTCCACATCTGCAAAGGGAATGATAGTACAGGCCACCTTCAGGGTTGGGTGGAGGCGGCCACAAGCCATCTGCAGCCTGCCCTACCCCCACTCGAAACCCTGCAGGTGGCACTCTCTTGGCAAGAAGCTTCTGTAGCCCCCTCTTGCCTTGATGCGCAAGCTTTTCCAGAGTCTGGCCACATTCATTGTCTGCTCCCACTCAACCCTTCCCCCTCCCATCACTCTAAGTGTCCCCACGGCCCTAACACCCTGGCCCTCTTCTTTCCAGGAAGTCTTCTGTGACCTCATCTGTCCAACTGACCCCCTACTCCAAGCTCTCCTACTCCACAAACTCTGTTCCTGCCACTTTCCACCTGGCAGACACTGTTCATTCTCACAAGCACCCTAAGGCCAAAGGCCACCCACACTCACCAGCTGCTTATTAAAATTCTGAACACACTGTTCAAACTGTTCATCCTTCGTTTCATCCGCCTTCCCCAGTTTCTGCAGCACCTGCCAAGGCAGAGAAGGAAAGCGTTAACTTTGAGGGGCAGAGTGGCCACAGCAAGGATGCCCAGTCACCAAGAACACAGAGCAAGACCAACATCACCCAGTCCAGGGCACTGGGACCTGCAGGAGGTCTCCCTTCTGCTGTGTCCCCTAGGCAGGTGCCATGGTCCAAACGTGCCCTCCACAGTTGCTGTGTTTGAATCTTAATCCCCAACAGTCATGTTGGGAGGTGGGGCCTAATGGAGGTGACTGGGATCCACCCTCACAGATGGATTATACTATCATCCAGACAGTCGTTTGTCATCCCAAGAGTGGGTTTGTTATATTGATGTCCATTAGGACTCCACAGATTCTCAAGTCCCTTATATGAAATGGCATATAGCATTTGAATAGAACCAACACACATCCTCCCATAGGCTTTAAAGCATCTCTGGATGACTTAAAGAGAATGTAATACAATATAAATGCAATGTAAATAGTTGTGATCTTGTTTTGTTTAGGGAATAATGACAAGGGAAAGCCTGTGCACTTTCAAGGCAGACACAACTACCATAGGTCTATCTAGAGAATACACAAATGAGACCCAAGACAAGAGGTGAACAGTGCTGCAAGGAGTGTTGGAGAGAGACGGGGCTGAGCGGAATGACAGGACACAGCAGCAGAGCATCCCTACTTCACTTTGTTCCAGTGGGTTTTGCGTAGTGCTCAATGCATGGCAAATTCAAGTTCTGCTTTCTGGACCTTTCTGAAAATTTTTCCCAAATGTTTTCAATCCAAGCCTGGTTGGATCTGTGGGTGTGGAACCAGAGATACACAGGGTATCTTGTAAAATCAAGTTTGGCCCTTTCTGGCTCTCTCATATAAATTCTCTTACCTTGGATGCCTTTTGCCAGATCCCTCACCAGATCTTGGACTTCCCAGACTACAGAACTTTTAGAAGTAAGTTTCTTTCCTGTGAGGGTCTAGATAAGTATCTCCCAAAGGGCCATGTACTGAAGCGTTGGTCCCCATCCTGCAGCACTACTGGGAGGGGTTGGAACCTTCAAGAGGTGGGCCTAGTGGAAGGAAGTTAAGTCATTGGAGGCATGCTCTTGGAGTCCCTCCTCTTTCTCTCTTTGCTTCCCAGCTGCCATAAGGTGGGCAGCTTTGCTCTACCACTCTCTCCCCAACGTGATGTCCTGCCTGGCCCCAGGCCCAAAAACAACAGACCAATCAACGAAGGTCTGAAGGCTCCAAAACTGTGAGCCAAAACCAACCTTTTCTCTCATGAGTAGATTATCTCAGGCATTTGTTGCAGTAACAGAAAGCTGATTGACACATTTTCTTTATAAATCACCCAGTCTTGGCTATTCTGTCATACCAGCACAGAACAGAAGACAGAATTCCCTCTCCCCTCCCCACCCCTCATTCAGAGCTCAACCCTCAGTTAAGAGCAGGAACATCAGGACAGGCTGCAGTGATGGTACCAGGGGGGCGGCTTCAGAGACAGCTGGAAGGATGGGGTCCCTCCCTGCTGACCTCATGCTGCACACCTGGGGGCCCCACCCCCACCTGACAGCTGAAGAGTGGGCTGAGCATGACAGGGACCAGGCAGGTGCGTCCACATGACTCCACTGCCTGGGCTGAGGCCCATGACACCACAGGGAGACACAGGGCAGGCCTGAGGCTGGCAGTAGCCATCCCAGACTGAGGAGGGTAGCAAAGGCAGCCGGGTCTGGCAGAGACTGGCAGGGTCACCAGGAGCCAGCTCCCAACATGAGTGGATTGTTAGAGGTGACCTGATCCAAGCACCTGCTTTGTCCACAGCCTAGTAGGCAAAGCTCAGCCCATCCTTGGTTCTGACAGTCTCCACTCATGCACGCATACCACATGCCCTTCCCAACAGGAAACGTCAGAGGCTGCTGCCCTCTGATGACCCATAGCTGCCCTTCCTCGGCTGGGTGGGGGAGAGGCAGTAGGGGGAAGGAGAGACAGAGGTGGAGGCTTGGGTAGGTAAGAGCAGAGAAGGAGAGTCAAGGCCAGAAGAAGAGGAAAGCCTACAAAAAGGTAGGAACTAGAGCAGGGAGCTAAGAGGAAGCCTGACCAGAGGCCCCATGGGAGGCCCTCCTTAACCCTCCCCCCCACCCTCGCTGCTCCTGCAACTCAGAGCTCTCAGAAGAGATGAAAAAAGAGGCAAGGGGGACCAGGAAGTCCCAAGAATGAGGGGTAGCCCAGCAACCACCCACAGCCAGCAGGTCCCCACCAGGTCCCTGTCACATCCTCTCTTTGAAGACCTATGTAGGCCACACTGTCTGGAACGCCAACTTTGCCCACCCAGGACCCAGGCCAAAACCAAGTCAGGAACCTAGCCATGGCTAACTAGCCCTCAGAGGGCCAGCCCTGCTGCACCTTCCTCAGCCAGCCCAGGAGCCACAGTGAGGCCAGCCACTCATGGCCATCTCTCACTAGGTATCTGCTTGTGCTGCCCTTGGACATCTCTGCTGGAGACTCAGAGGTAATTCAGCTAGGGAACCCAGCTCCAAGACAGAAGGAAGCACTGGGGACTGTGGGAGACAGGGAAGAAATCCTACCCAGTGGGACAGTCGGGGGGGACTTCCTGGAGAAGGCGGCAGCTCCTCCAGAGGAGACCCAAAAAAATGAGGCATATATTGGGGTGGATTTCAAATGGCTAAAGACTAGAAGACAGAGTCTTCACAGAGGACGAGACAGAAGATAAGAGTGGTGTGCAAAAGAGGGAGAGGGGAAGCACTGAGGAGCAACCACCAACACCTTTGTAACCTCTTACATCTACAGTGGGAGTGGTGACAGTCACCATAGCATGGCAGAGCCTCAAGGAAGCAGTTTCATTTGCGTTCCACCACGCACACAACCTAACCCAGCCCGGTACACTCCTCAAGGCATCCAGTGTGGCTTGTAGAGGGAAAAGCAAGCTAGACATTGCCTGCTGGAGCAGAAACCAGGAGAAACTCCCACCACTTTGCTCAACACCCACTTCCTTTTTGTACTGCCCACAATGGGGCTTGTACCACACCCTGGCTGCTGGGGAGGCCTTCCTGACCATCTCTGGTGCCTGGACACAAATGGTCCCCTCCCTCCCCAGAATGCTGCTCAGCCACACTGGCATCTGTCCTCATCCTGGGATCAGGGCCCAAGGTTGCTCTGTCCAGCCCCGTCAGAGCCTTCACCAAGAAACACACTTACACACAGGCAGAGGCACATGCACACACACATGCATACACACGCATGCAACCCCTCTACTTGCCAATAGGGCCCATCTGTCCCAACCATTCAAGACAAATGAGTGGGTACCCCCATGTCAAACTTACGGACAGATTACTGAAGCAGGGTTGTTGGAGTCCAGGAGAAGCCTGACACAGCAGGGCTCAGGAGTATGAAAGCAGAGTTGATGAGGGGTCAGTGGCACAGGCTTGGATGGGACTCAGTGCAGGAAACCCCGGACCGTCAGCAGCACCTACACTCATCACACACTTACCAGCATGTCTCACTTGCAATGAACAAAGAGCCTTTAATGTGAGACAGAGGGCAAGGCTTGGGCCAACCACACCCTCCAGGCTCTCAGCACAGGAGGCACAGGCAGCAAAGGAGGGAGGGGGAGAGGAAGAGGACTGCCAGGCAGGAACCACAGAGCCAACAGTCCAGGAGGTCTTATCAGTGCCACTCAGTGTCACCTCGTATCAGCTTCCTCTCTCCGTGTCCTCAGTCTGAGGCCAAATGTGAGTGGAGCCCAAGTGCTTGACAATGGCTGTCCACATGGCCAGTTCCACAGCCTCTTTGCAGCTGTGGAAGGAGACAGCCCCCTTTCCCCTGGGAGGGTGGAAGTTCTCAGTAATGGCACAGTGCCTCCTGGGGCCAGGGCCTGCATGGCCTCGGTGGGAGAGTCCTGTGCCCTGCAGGGAAAGTGGGGGGCTTCCCCAGCCCTTCCAAAATGGCCTTGGTAGTGACAGGCATGGCCAGAGGCTCTGAGATCAGCCTGTTACCTATTGGTATAAGGAGCCCTGCGGAGCCTCCTAACAGCCCTGGGAGGACAGGTGAGCTCCCCGCCCACACACACACATACACACAGGTTAAGTCCCAGGGTCCATGTCAGTGCAGGTCCATCATCCCAGAGGGAGGGAAAACCCCACAGGCCTGGCTTGTCTAAACTGGGGACAACTCTCACTTTCTATCCCTCCCACCTGACAAGCACTCCTTCCTCACTAGGTATGTGTGAGGAAAAGCAAGCCAGGCATTGACAGATGGCAGGTGAGTCCAGATAAGTCAGAACACCCAGCCAGCAGTGCCCACCAGCTAGGGAGGGACCTTGTCGGCAGGGCAGCAAGGCACAGCACAGACAAGCAGTTCTGTGTGGTTCACCAGGCTGAGCCTTGAGCTCAGCCAGCTCCCTCCTGGGGGCTCCAGTCCCTCTGTCAGCCCTCAATCCGAATAGCATGGCACAGGCAGAAATAAGCATTTTCCAGAGCCCAGGGCTTAGTAAGAAGAGCCAAGCCCAGGGGCCCAGGAGGGAAGCCAGGACCAGGCCAAAAATACAGTCCAGCCAGGAAAGCTGATGGTCCCTTTGCCCACCAAGTTACCCTCATCCCACTTGTGGGGGGCAGAGCTACACTCCACACTTCTCAGTGTTCCCAGCACCCCACCACTGGCACACACACACACACGTGTCCCTTCCAGGAACCCACCACCCGGCTGCCGAGGCTCCAGAGATGACACCCAGCCTTCACCTTCCGCATCTTCTCCTCCTGGCAACTGTAGCCTCAGGAAAGCTGGTACAGGGAGTGAGCCCCACCCAGCAGCAGGGCGTTACCCCTACACTCTTCCTCCTAGCAGAGGCTGCGGTTGGGGGACCACAGTGACAGGATGCATGCTCTTGTGCCTTCACAGCTTCACACTGAGGCTCCACAGGCACTGAGACAGACAGCAGGCAGGCAAAGGCTTCAGGAAGGCACCAGCCAGGTTGTTCCCAAGCACAGATCTCAGGGAGATAC